GGGATCTCTGACCCTTATATCTCAAAGCTTCGGGCTTTAACGGGAAAGGCAGAGGGCTTCCAAATCCACGGTCCGGGGGCGGACCTTCTTAATCGGGAGGGGGTTTCCCGCTATTGTGGGGGGGCCGGGCCCTGCAAAGGGGTAGCCTTTGAAAACTTGAAAAACCTCATCTTTTTATCTACGGATTAATCAGGGAACAGCTGTTTCTGGCAGGGTTGGATTTCACCGAAATCCCAGGGATCCCAAGGCCAGGGATCTCTGACCCTTATATCTCAAAGCTTCGGGCTTTAAGGGAAAGGCAGCGGGCTTCCAAATCAAACATGACCTGACCAAATCAGCAAAAGTCCGCCAGGATGAGTAACCCATTAGCCCTTACTAAACCTAAACCCTAAACCCTAAAATCTTAGATCGGGGATTTTTGGGGCGGGTCCCGTCTAATCGGGGGGGTTCATTTGGTCCGGTTTTAATTGGGTGGGTTCTAATGGAAGTGTTCATTAGCGGCTTGGAATTTCCGGGACGGCCCCGTCTAATCGGGGGGGGTTGTTAATCCGGAAACGACATTAGCACCAGCCCACGTGCCGGCCGCATAGCGGTGGGCTGGCCTGGGTTGGGCTGGTTGGTTGGTTGGGTTGGGTTGGTTGGCTGGTTGATCCCTCCTGCTTTCGTTTTGTATTGGGGGGTGGGAGTCGGGGGACCGTCGAACACATTATCTCCGGGTTTCCCCGGGACACAGGATTGGGAAATGTATTGGCCAGTGGCCGTTCTAGCACAGTATGTATCCATGGAACACAGGCTAGCTACACTCAGAACAGCACACACGAGGAATCCCACAAATTCCCAATTTCAAGATGTTGGAAACATCTGCTCTCACGCTCTCTCTCTTTCCCTCTCTCTCCTGCCCCCTCGCTCACTCTGTTGGAAAGGTCTCCTGGCTGTGCAGAGGTCGTGTGCTGGCAGGGCCTGCTTGTGTGGTTCCAGCCGTCATGATGTTGGGTTTTGGCTCCAGGGGATAGGGAGCCTCCCCGGCGTCGGCCATGTGGCGGCTTGGGCTGCAATAGTGCCGCAAATCAGACTAAGATCCTGGATCGCTTTCACGAAGGTGTCGGAGAGAGCATTGGCTGACGAATTGCGCCATGCTGCATTTTTTCCGTGAGCTTTCGCGAACCTCTGGACATCAGCATTACAATGCCATCCTGAGGCTGGATGTGTGCCGAATGCATGCGGATCTGTCTCGTGATGAGCTTCGTCAGCTGACAAAGACCCTTCGGTTTGGCGACGAATGCGGGAAGGCCGCGCCACTGACTCTGCTTATCTCTGCTTTGCTTCAGCCAGACACCTCATTTGTCCCATTTGTCATCCAATGCAGCCGCTTGGCTTTTTTTCCTGGTGACGCATGGTGATGTCTGGTGTCTCCTCACATCTTGACACCGATGAGGTCCGCTTTTCCAAGGCTCGACGTCAGGTGCTTCCTTTGCTGGGGGGGGGAGGGGGAGGGGTGCGGGGAGGGGAGTTTCGGCAAGTTCGACTAGACTTGCCTGCCCAGACGAAGACGATGATCAGCAGTTCGTCAAGTTGACATGCCCTTGCCTGGAGCTCAGGAGCTCTTTTCTTACCCCAGCACATCGCATGCAATTGGAGGGGGCTGTGAACACATGGTGCTAGAACACATTGCGCTAGGCAGACAACTCTACCACAGGCTTTAGCGTGTGGTGCCCGGGTGGTGTTCGCACCGGTAATTGTAGTCTCATGCTTGCTGTCGGTTCTCAGGACGGGCAATCAGTTCCCATGACGCCGCCTGGCATGCGTCCACAGGCTGTGTTGTGCGGATTAGATTGTCTGTGCGTGCGTGCGTGCGCGCGAAGCAGATCTCCTCGTCGCCGAAAATGTTTGTTAGTATTATGGAAAAAATGCAGGGACAAGCCCGCAGCGGAATAGGACATGCTGTCCGAATCTGTCCGACACGTGCCGGATACGAGTGCAGTACACAAGGACTGCTTTGAGCTCTTCTGCAAGCCAGAACAGCAAACAACCGACCTGTCATGTTGTCATTTTCTGTCTGGCAGGCAGGTGCGCGGCAGAAAGGCGATTCCGGTGAGCAGACCCAGCTACTCCCGGCCGAGGAAGAGGCAGGATGCTAAGTCTACGGATGCTGGCAATAATAGGCTACAAGTTGAAAGTGACAATTGAATGCATTGGGGTCGGCATCGCTGGTGTCAATGTGGGTTGGCTGTTTGTTGTGCCTGCCCAGAGGCCGAACGTACCCTGAACACCCAACCCGAAGATTGGGCAGTAGACATTCACATGATCCCGGCCTCTTGAGGACGCGGCCCTGCCGCGACATCGCCAGCGCCTCCTGCGATTCAGGCTTGCTGCCTTGCTGGCGTCTTTGTGGGTTCGGGGTCCTGCTGCGGCTCGCTACTTTGTGGCTCCCGGGGTCTTGCTGTCCTGGAACCTCTCGCTGCCCATGTTGCTCGGGATAACCCTTGTCCCAAACCCAATCACCCCCCCCTTTGTCCTATGCACTTGTGTCTTCTGGATGTTACGACTTCCTCGCCGCCGGCGCCTCTTGCGACTCGGGCCGGCTGCCCGCTAGGGTCTCTGTGGGTTCGGGGTCCCGCTGCAGCTTGCCACCTTGTGGCTTCGGGGTCTTGCTGTCCTGGAACCGTAGACCTTAAACCCAGCCCCCAGCCACCCGTGCACTTCGGTCTCGCTTGCGTGGGCTCGGGTCCTAAGCAGACACCGCCCTAAGCCGTTCAGGACTCCCAACCTTGGGTGGCACGGGATGTGGTGGCCCAGCTGCCTGCTCCGATGGAGGCCTGCTTCCTGTGGTGGGTCTGGTCACTGAAGCTTTTCGGGGTTAAGGCTTTGGGGGTTTATGACAAGGGCAAGTCTTGCTGCCTTTCATGTTCGGAATACCGCTCGTCCCCAAACCCTATAACCCTAACCCCTAAACCTATCTATGCACTTGTCTCCTCAGGATGCTGTGACTTCCTTGTCCCAAACCTTTGGGTTTTTGGCTGGCTTGCAAGTTGAACACCGCCCCGTAGGCGGCAGCCTTCATACTCCTAACCGGTAGACGATCGCCAGGATGGTGACAGCAACGGTGCGGACTCCTTTGGCTGATGTCGGCGGTGTTTCTCGTTGATTGCTTCAAGCGCCAACTTTCTTAGTGCAGGAGAGCTCTGTGCCAGAGTGCATCCAAGCACACTGGACCGATCCTGCGTTCCGCGACGAGGGCGCCGCGGCCCTTCCTCATTGGCACTACAATAACATGGTCCAGTCAAAGCACCAGAACAACGTCTGCTTCTTTTCGCACCTAGCCTATAATACCAGACATGTGTAACTTGGACTTTTCTTCGCATGCAGGATACCGGTTGTGCTGGATATATAGCGATGCCTGGATTTCCGTGTTTCGTGGCTGACTCCGCAATTCTTCGCAGCATTCCTCAGGCACTCGTGGGATGCCCAGGAAGAGTGCTGGGACGCCTGTTTCCAGGGGCTCGCTGCTATCGTGCGGGCGGGTGGGCTGGCGAATTTCCAGAAGCTCAGCTACGAGCAAAAGCAAGCGTTGCTGCCAGAGGAGCTCTGGGGTTTCCCTTTTGCTAGGTCCTAGCTGTCTTGAGCTTGCAACTTGCAAAGAGCCTCTTGCAATTTCTGGGAGGATGCTACTTCGGTGCTCCAGTTCTCTGAGTATGGTGACATGGTCGCCTGGTACAGGCGTTGTGCCTGGCAGTTTGTCCAGGACCGGCCACAGTATGTAAAGTATTGGAGAGGTTGAGAGGGTCCTTCAAGATTGTATCGTGGGGGTCCCCAAATGTATTGGCAGGGTCCTTCCACCGGAGTCCACGGGAAGACAGCCGAGGAGTCGAGGAGTAGGGTACATCAGTGTGTGTGTGTGTGATGCAATCGCATGATATCTTACGCTCGGAGGGACACTGGGACAAGCGGGTGGCAGTAGAATTGTATCAGGGGGGTCCCTGCATGTATTGGCAGGGTCCTCCGGCCGGAGTGCTAAGGAAGACGGCGGGGGCGCGTGGGCGACAGTATGCTACAGTACGTGTATGATGCAATCGTATGCTGTCAGGGATTTTGGGGCCAAGAAGATAGGGGGGATCTGCCAGGATTGTATTACAGGGGTCCCTCTCACCTAATACCTTCGTGGCAGGCAAGGCTGCCCCTGGTCCGCCGACACTGCTGTAACCAGAACAGCGAATGGTTGGCCTTTCTTGGGTCAGAGGACCATGCCACAGACAGCCTGTGTATGGATATGCTTCGATGTCTGCCACGCTTTCTTATGCGGGGAAGACAATGCTCCCTGTGCGGCCAGGCAAGCATCATCGTAGACACGCTGTGCCAATACATTAGACCACCCATCCAATACAATCGTGAATGCTGGCCCGGTGCAGCGCATTGGGGGAGTCTAGCATCCCGTAGACACGGGAACCACGGTGCCAATACATTAGACCACCCATCCAATACAATCCTGAATACCGGCCCCAGCTCAGGATCTGGTGCGCCGCTGGCTCTCCTCGCGCGGGGACGAGCTTGTCTGGTCTGCTTTGCACAGAGGTTCGCAGCTGGCCAGGTTGTACACCGAGGTGACAACGCCCCATCTGCAGAATGTCCTTGGCTCGCTTTGGACGCCGGCGGATAACTACTGCACACCGGCCGAGGCCAAGTTCCAGGTTAGCAGAGGACTCCTGGCTGCGCACCCGGCCTTTGACCATCTCAGGCGCATGATGACAGAGGCCAGCATGCTGGAGTTAGCCATCGGCCAGCCACGTGCTGGGGCAGGTGGACGTTTACCTGGAGCGACAGAGTGCTTCGAAGCACTGCTTCTTCCTACTCTGTTCCGACAAGGCATCAACCATATTCGCTTGCACGCATGCAGCCTGCCCGTTTTTCTTTTATGACGGTCACTGTTGCGATGTACGGAATTTGACTTTGCCGGCATCGATACTTACAAAATCTGGCAAGGAATACTGCGATGTCTCACAGGTGCGAGTGAACCGCTGTATGCGGCCGACGCCGCGGCGTCTCTGTGGGTGATGTCGAAGAGTTGGAAGCAGTCCTGCTGTGCTCCTCCGTGCAGAGCAGCAGTGAAAGGATGCCTTGAGGCCCATGTGTTCCGCATCCATCGGAGCGCAGAAGCCGCCAAGGAAAGAGACTACTGTGAAGAGGGAGTTGCCGTCAGCTAGCCCTGCACTGGCAGCATCGGCTGCCGCTTCTCGTGACGGGCAATCTGCTGCCGCTTCTGGTGATGGGCAATCTGATGCCGCTTCTGGTGACGGGCAATCTGCTGCCGCTTCTGGTGACGGGCAATCTGGTGCCGCTTCTGGTGATGGGCAACCTGGTGACGGGCAGCCTAGCACTCCACGAGCATCGTCGCTACCGAGGCCGAAGGCGTGAAGCTGCAACGGTTGCAGTCCTCAACGGCAGTAGTGCCGGTCAAGGTAGAGCCCCAGCAAGCGCCATGCAGGGACATCGTGCTGCTAGATGACGACAACGAGGACCCAACAGCTGCTGTAGGCAAGTCCAGCGGAGTTTCTAGAAAGGTTCGCAGGGAGCTGGGACAAGAACGGCTTGGAGGCAGAGGCGAGCTGGAGGGCCTTGGGCATCGACCACCACAATGTCTTCGGTCCCAAGCACGGCTTTGTCATGCCGAAGAACGACTGGAAGGACTTCTGTTCATCTATCTCCAATGGCAAGCCTGTGCAATGCTCAGTCTGCCAAGAGCTCGTGGAGCGGGCACGTGTCAACAAGGAGGCCTTGCAAGACGAGGACACCGAGCGCGGTGTAGTGGAGGTGGCTGCTCTGGCGGATGCAAGCGGGCCTGGCAGCACCGAACCTTCCAAGGCCAGAGCTGGTTTCATGGATATATTCTGAAAACTCCGCGAGGACGAAGGCCTCCTGCAGGTTCGCAAGGGTCGTCGACCAAAGAATGCAGTGCCAGCTCTGCACGAAGATGTCTTCGAGTTCCTCAAGGTGCGACGGCTTGTTCAGTATACTCTTCTTGATGAACATAAGCTCAAGATGGAGTGCTAACTGTGTGGCGAGACCTTCAAGGCTGTCAGGACGACCACAGTGTATTTCATCCTACAGCACGAAGCCCAAGCTGTCCATTTCGCAGCCCAGATGAAACAGCAGAGGCATGCATGTGCAGGCTTACGGCTGGAACTGTCCAATGCCTCGGACAGAACCAATGCTCATCACTACAAGAGCTGCTTCAGGACTTGGGCGCTGCATGACTACCCCTGGCACCTGAAGCAGACCAACGTCCAGTGCTGGGTGGGAGAGGATGATGTGGTCGTGGTCCGGTCACAGCGATGCGTGGAAGCAAAGATGAAGCAGGCGGCTGGGAAGACCGCGTGCCGGGCCTGCATTGGCATCTGCCGGACTGCAGACCTCTCTGCCAAGGTGCCGACATGGGCCTCCGCACAGACGTCGCGAAGCTGGCATCAGCTGTCTTCTTGGAGCAGACAGCTGAGATCTCGAGTCAGCTTGAGCGCATGGCAGAGGTCAGCTGGCAGGCGTCCCCCCCCATCGACATGAAGTACCTCGCCGAGCAGCGGTACCCCGTGCTGCACGACCGGTTGCAGGAGCTGCTAGTTTCCATCCCTCATTCCCAACGGAATCCGGCCATGCTTCGCTTCATGGCCACCCACTTCGACTGATTACCACGCCATATCCCGACGTCACCGGCCCAGCTCGATTCTTCGTGCAAGGGCAAAGTCCTGGACTACGTGGATCTGCTCGTGCAGGCAAAGTCTACCTCCTCCAGCAACAACAAAGAACTGTGCAAAATGTCGGGGACCCTGGATGGAGACTCCGTGGCAAGGACAATGATCACTGGCATCTTGCACAAGGCCGAGAAGGTACGTCAGGGAAGCAAGCGGCCGAACACCTCCAAGCTGCCGGGCGTGGACCCCAGCGCCATTGCAGAGGTCGGTTTCGCCCTCGCCAGCTGCGCCCGACAGGAGTCCTTGATGAAGATGTTTGGGCTCATCGCTCCGAAGCAGACAGGTGTCGACATCCGGCACGATCACCTTCCTTTGTTCTTTGCGCCCGGGTTGACTGCAGAGCAGGCGGGTGGCCTATCGCAGATTAAGAAAAAATCCCCCCTCGTGCTCACAATCTTCGAACCGCAGTGTCAGGCCAATCGTGACGACATGATCGCCTTTGACGAGACCACCTATACAGTACAACCTCCAGGCGTTCCCACAGCCAACAGGGATGGCGTATGTCGGCGGTGCCAATGCCAGGAGTGTGCTGCCTGCTAGCCAACATAGCCCAGGGGCCTTGATGAAGAATCAGCTCTGCCAGACGTGTGTGTCGTATCTTCTGAGGCGGGCCTCGACCCGCAAGGAGCCCTTTGATATCTACATGGGCCCCAAGAGGCTGGCTTCCGTGACTGCACAATCCGTGCTGCAGCTGACCGGATCTATTTGGCCGGGCCGCGGATGGGGTACCGCCCATCAGTCAAGCCTGTGATAACCACTCCGCCCACAGGATCCTCAATAATGCCATCTTCCTAGCCCAGGTCGATGCCGCCCAGTTCGCCGATGTCCCTTTCTTTCGCGACTGCAGCTTCGTCAAGTCTGATTGTCAGATTCCCTGTTGGCGGTTCGGGTCGATCGAGTACAAAGGCCACACCATCTTTGCTCACAACGATGCCGCCACATGCAGAAGTGCCTCGCACGATCCTTGCGAGCAAAGACCAAGGTGCTTTACACGCAAAACCTGCGTGTGACTCATCAGGTCCTGCTGCTCCGCGGTCTTCCTGCAGCGGCTTTCCAAGGCACCGACAACCAGAGCGATGCACAGGCGGCTTGGCTGCTGAACCCTGTGCTTCTGGATCTCGATCAATGGGATTGCTTCGGCCTCGCCATGCACATGTACTTCGCTGCTTTGTGCACGGGCTCCTGGCTTGCGTCCCACTGCTTGGATCCGATGTCGTTGCTGCGGAACTGTCTATGCGGCTACTACATGCTCCCGGTCGACCTGAAAGATGCGAAAGCGGCACGCTTCTTTCATTGCATCACGGTGGCCAACTTGTTGGCCACCTTGTTGGCCACCTTCGGTCAATCTGGGGCAGCAGATTCTTCACTGGCCCCCTGGCGTCCCAGTGCAACCGCGGAGGATGTGTGCGAGCAGCACTTCGGCAGGACAAAATCTAACATTGTCCATCGGCTGCCGACGGTGCGGGCGGCTATCTTGTCGGCGCAGCAGCTTCATCTTCGGCAGGCCAGGAAGCTCTCCAAGCCGGACATGGCGAAGCTGTGCAAGTGGGAGGGTCTGAGTGGTGATGACATGACCCGGGTCAGGTAAAAAGACGAGCACTGGCAGAAAACAGGTGAGCACTGTCAGAAAAAAGACGAGCACTGCCAAAAGAAAGGGGACCGCTGTCAAAAACTGGCCCGATGTCGGAAGAAAGAGGACCGATGTCAGTAAAAAAGTGACACCCTGCTCGAAAGTCTGGCAAAGTTTAGAACACTTCCATAACCTTCAAAACTCATGGTTCTTGGAAGCAACCTTGTAAAGCCAACAGCATAGAAATCGCTTGTCTAGTCCAGACCGTGAGTGAGGACCGAAAGTGTTGGGCATAGCCGTGACCATTCATACTGGTCGACAGGCTATACTGCCGGCATGCAGATTGCTTGCACACTGTTCATTTCTAGCAGCTAATTAACGCTGCAGCCTCCAAGTGTTGTTTTCTGGAGTTTACCTCCAAAATCTCGAAGCCGAAGATATTTAAAGGCTTGGATGGCGAGCCTTTAGCTAACTGTTTCGTTTCGAGGCTTACGCTATCTCTTCCGTGTCGCCGGAGCCTTCTGCCATGGGACCAGGCTTGACTTCGCGAGGTGTGTTGCGGGGTGCTCGAGATTTGGATAGGCGATGGGGAAACGAAACGGCGTAAATGGTTTTTGAACTTGAGGACTGCATGAGCCGCATGCCACGAATCAACTTATAGTACGGTTGTGATGGGTTTGGTTTGCTCGGCATCTGGGTAACCCTCTGACGAGGAGGCCGGTGGAGGCTCGAGGGACGTGGGCATCGATGTCGTAGAGTGTAAAGTGGTATTGTAGGGCCCCGCAGCCCGAATCAACATTTGGATCTGTGACCGAGCTGAACACAATATTTCCGCTTCCTCATTGTTCGCAGCCAGATCGACCCCGAACTGCGACCGCGGCCTCATCACCCCTGACGGTGTCGCCGAGCTCTTAAGTCTAAAGAGCCAGTTCGCCCCGAACTGCGACTGCGGCCTCATCACCCCTGACGGTGTCGCCGAGCTCTTAAGTCTAAAGTCATAGCCACGTGAGGCGTTGATGACGAGACAAAAGCGCTTCCGGCTTTAAAAGCGCTTGTTACACTTGCTGTTCTTTTGCATCACATCTGTGGCCTCATGAACGTTGCTTTTCCGGACAGCTACACTTCCCGGCCGAAGAGCTTGATATCAAATCCGTTCGATGAAGGCTTTGTTGCTTTGTGAGACATGGGATTTTGGTGATGCTTGAGGCCCGAGACAGGTGTGGCATCCGGCATTGTGGAGGACCGAGGAGTTATAGTCATCCGGTAGGCCCACTTTGCCGACTGCCGTCCGTGCCCCACTGGCCGGGAGGATGGTCACCAGCTCATCGGGCGCATGGTCATCATCATAGACCTGGTTCGGTCTCCCGAGTTCAACGGACAGCCACAGCCCGAATGGTGTTGTAGATCTTTGCCTGTTGCTTGAAGCTTGGAAGATGTGAGTGCTTGTGGATGGTCTGCATCATATCCAGCCTTCGGAAGTGCTGTACGATGCTGTACAAGGCTCTCAGAGAGGCATAGGATGTTATAGGGTAGTTTTCGCTCCGCCGAAGTCATCCTCATCGGCTATCGGGGATTTCGCAGGTAGAATCGGACCTGCCGTAATTTGAACGTGAATCTTCCTGGCCTGCCTGAGGTGGGGTCGAGTCGAATCTTACGATCCGCAGATGCAGCGGTTTGTTGTGCGGGTGGCCGCTGCCTTGGACCCCTGCTCTTTGTCATAGCCGCGCCGCTATCTGTGACGGTCGCACTTGTTAAGACATCTCCGTGCCAATTCATGACCGGCACGAATGCAATTCCAATCAAGGCCAGGCCACGCATAAGCCACGTGTTGGCCATGTATCCCACATTTGCTAAACACCCATGCATTAATTCTGCTGCTAGCACCGCTTGATTGCCATGTTGCCGCAGATGGAACCAAGGAGCCCGTACACGCCGTAGAATCTGTAGAATATAGACGCTCAGCTTTACTCATACCTTCCCAGCCTGCAAAGTCGCGCTGCAGGAAGAAATTGAATAAGGTGGCCTTGCAAACACCGAAGCGCGGCAGTAATTGATCAAGGCAAGCATGATCTGACTAGTCAACAGCACGCAGCTACACATCCAAATCAATCTTCAACCAACCTGGAACATGCTGAAGGCCCAGACGAACCAGCTGCTCGGGGAGGGCCCACTCCTCGCAAAGCTTAGGCCATTGCTTTGCTCGTGGGACAGAGTTTAATATGTTGTGGAAGGTTTGGCTGTCCAGACTTTCTTCGGTGATGTTTTGATTTCTGATCTGGTGTCGAGACCTCTCGGACATCTCTCATCACTCTCATCATTGTGCCAGATGTTTTGTGGCAAAGAAGAAACACATGTGCCTGTGAGCTTTTAGGTTTCCTGGCAGTGTATTGGAGGCAGATCCGGCCTGCATGCTCACGTCAGTTCGTCTCGGTAGAGGTTGAACAGAACAGGCAGAGGCACACGCCCTGCACCTAAAGGGTCGAGATTGTCCCAGCACCCCTGCCGAATAGAAGGGCATCTCTCCCACGCCACAGCCACAGCTGCTTTGAATGCAGGCGTGAAAACCTGGTAGTTCCCAGCCGCTCGACTCGATTGATTAGCCAAGTGGGCCAGACAGACTTTCCAGGTTTCAAGTGCCGAATGCGGATCCCACCTATGTTGATCTCTCATGTCTTCCGGGTTTCTCGAGAAAAGCACGGAGAGCATGGGCAGGAGCCAGGTCATGCTCCGCGGATGCTCCATCTTTGTAGATCTGGATATCGCATTGCGGCTATCTGCTTCTCATACTCAAAATGCGCGGTTCCCCCAGCCGTGTAGTACCATGTGGTAACATACAGGGCTCTTACGTTTAATGAAGATCGTAAACCCGAGCTGTGCAAAAAAAAACAATCAAAAACATACATTTAGTCTTTGCCTGTTGGGTCGGGAGCGTGATTTCCAAAATGCCGGGGTCAAGACCAGAAGTACAAAAGTTCTCGAGTAAGCTGTTCGGGTAATTGGATGCATACCGTGGGGAGCACGGCCCTCGCACAGCCAAAAATCGTGGATGCTGAAGCAGCCTGCAACGCCGGAGCTAACGGGAAACCTGTAGTAATATAGAAAGGCCACAAAAGCTTGCATGTATAGCGGATCTAAAACATCTACAACGTGTCCAAGCATGCGTAGAAACGCCTGCTTCAGAACCCGAAAGAACGCAAAATCGCAGGTTCCGACAGTAAAAGTTTAGAGAAAGGACCAAAGAAGCAGGCCACGAGCCCCCAAGCCTCTCTCATGTCCTAGCCCTTGTTGTCATGTGTGTGGCTCAGTCACATACCTGAAGTCCTGAGATTGAACGTTCTTGTTGTAGCAGCCTACTTCATTTCTGCACAAAGCTGGTGCTCAAGTCAGAGGCGACGTGATAGCGACGGTGTCGGGTTCGGTTTGCCACAACCTGAATCGCGAACAACCCCCAACTGAGCAGCTAGAATTGGAGTCTGAAGAAGTTTGACTCTTGCCTTAGGGTTCGCTCCAGATCACAGCTCCGACCAGCTCTAGGCTCAGATGCCGCTCCGTGGCACCTGACCACGCTGCCTGAGGTAGGCCTTCGCATCCGGAATCGCCTGGGCTTGTGCCGGAGGGGGTGGTGGGGGGAGGGTTAGGGCTGGAGCATGGAACCTAGCCGAGTCACATTCCATCGGAGAAGTTGTTCCGAAGCTCGGTACAGTCTATGCTGCCGTTAAGATTCGGAAGAAGTTCAAGACTCGAACACGCTTTCAAGGCTCAGCCATGCGATATTGTGAGAGGTGCTTGTTGCTCGGTCCACACGTTTTGCTCCTTCGCCATGCTTCGAGAGAGTACGCAAATCGGTGTAGGATAGGACTTAGCGCAAGACGCCGGGCCCATTGACTTAAGTTCTGGTACATGGTAAACAAAACCAGGTTCCAAGGTCGCGGGTGGAGAAGGCGGATGGGACCTATGTAGATTTACCATGTCGTGGATCTGCACTCGTGCACGTACGGATTCCCGCCTTGAATTTTTGCATGTAAGTCGGCATGGATCTTCGCACGACCGTAGCCTCCCAGAAAGAGCTTCCTCAAGCTGGTTCACAACCTGAGAGAAGTCTGGCTAAAGAGCTGATCCAGCCCTGATCGCTCGCTGCGGCTCGTTATCGCGTTTGCTTCAGGGGCCGTCAATTTCAAATGCCGCTTAAGTGAAAATGCTGAGCATTGCTGAACCCACGGCCCTCAGCCAGATATTCCAGAACAAGACAAGCCGTTATGCCGATGCTGTAGCCGCTTCCTGTTTGACGCTAGACAACTCCTCACAACATTGCACTGCACAGATTCGGCCATCACGTGTAATCTCCCGGACAGCTAGAATCTTATAAGTGAAAAGTTCGTGGCCCGCGTAGTTCCAAGATCTGCTCTTCGCAAGCAACCGCAGGCTGCAGACATACACCGGTACCGCACGCCCCGGCGGAAGGGCAAACACATGCAGCGCTAAAGAGGCAACTTAGTAGTATACATAGGCCGTGCTTACTGCACCCTGCGCTGCGCGATGGGTGTCACCTACGACCAGCCTGTGATCGATGGCATTTGCAGCCGACTTCGAGTGCCTTGTGCCCAAGAGATTTTCCTGGTTGTTGGAGAACGAGCCTCTGAGCCTGGACCACATCAACCCAAGCAAAGGGGTTTACAATGTTTACAACCTGGCACCGAGCGACAGCCGGAGCATTGACTTTGAAGCTTCATCTTGCAAGGTGCTGGTCCAGGATGCCTTTCAGCAGCTCGACCGCGAAAAGTGATTCCTTGTAAGTCTTGAGAACTGCGAAAGGAGCTTCAGCCACAGCGATGATGCAATGCATTGTGCTGCAGATCGCTTGCTTTCTTGATGCCATTTCGCCGGAGTTGCGAGCATGTCAGGATTAAGTAGAGTTTGGACATGTAGGTGACCCCGGCTTTATTCATTTGCACCCTTCGCTTCAGCAACGAGGAACTGCACATTGGAACTGACACAACTTTAGGATGTGTGAATGATGGCAATTTGGGCCCCTGCATAGGAGACATCTTTATGGCTCGGCCATCTTCTTCGCGGATAAGCTTGTCTCACTGCGGGCCGAACAGGTTCGGGGTGAAATGAACGGTTTGGGAACAAGTCCTGGCTGCGTCATGTCAATATACTTTTGCCGTGGCATCACGTCAAGAATCTGCATTTGTCTTAGCACACGATGTCCGCCAATGCCAGCAGCCGGACCGGACCAGAGCCAGGCCTTGTGCGTGTTGCCAGTAGCTTCTGGGACAGCCTGTATTTGGCTGTCTCCCGGCCACAGGAAGAGATTTACACACTGGCGGAATGCTACTTCAAGAACCGCGAGTACAGAGACTTGTTGCTTTAGTCCGCCCATGGCAACCTTCCAAGAGTTTTCGGAGTGCCAGTTGCTGGACCCTGCAACGCTAAGACTTGGTGGCCACAAGAAGCTTTAAGATTTAGCATTGCTTTGCACGATCGGAGCTCTGGGCTACAAGCCTCCAACTTCTCGTCACACCTCCTTTTCGAACACATGAAGTGGTGAGACCCAGGACGAGTGCTGCATTTGCTGAAGAAGCCTCTTGGCGCTTATCAACCAGGGGAAATTCCAGCCCTAATTTAATCTAATCGGCTTGGCACCAGTCGGCACCTTTTCGATGATCGTTTCAGACATGAACCCACTGTATGCCACCCTAATCATGCATGCCGCAAAGTGGCTTTGATAGCGATGCAAGGGTGCTGGAGTTCCTGTGCAGGTATGGCGAGGCAACTGAGCAGAGCCACCGACTGAAGCAGCTGTGCTTGCAGAAGATAGTTTCGCATAGGGTCCAATCGGCTCATGTAGGACCTGTGAAGTAGCACTGTAGGCCCTTATAGTAGACTCCCAGCATTGCCTCCTAGTGCACTAGGCTTCTGGTGGCACAAAGTCTGATGGAGTGCCGGGACTGGGAAGAAACCTGTCCGCAAAGTTTTGAAGGGAAGAGAACTTTCTGCAGGAGGTAGACTTGCTCTGGTCGAAACACGAGTGTCGAATTGCTTGTTTCGGCGTCCTGAAGTCTTCCTGCGAGACATGTCACATTCAAGCAGTCTCATACCTGTTTCTCGGATCTTTCACGACCGGAGAAGCAATCGCTTGGCCAACTTGTATAGGCATCCTTATTTCATGACAAGACGATTGAAAGTCTTTGATTTGTCTTCATCATGAGCTCTCATGCGAATGTCTTTCGGATTTGGTGGTTTCCACCGAAGTATGAAGCGTGAGGCTGGAGCCTGCCTATGGAGCCACGCTGTCAAGTAAGTTGCTCCGCGCAGTTGGCATCGCGAGTCAGCCTTGACATCTGAGGAATGCCTCAGGCCGACAGGGTTGGGTATCTGGTTGACTGTGCTGAACGTGTACAAGCGCAGATTTGTAGCTGTCGGTCTTGGTCTTGAAGGGAGCTTTGGACACGTAATAGCAACTATCTGTGGAACAAGAGCCTCGAATCGTGAACTTGGGTCATACGATGGACACAGACCGCCCACAAAGAAGTTTGGACTGGGATCGGAGCATGTGCGTAAGATTTGGTTGTGGCGCAAAGTCGCATCTGTAGTAGCTTAAGAAGTACTCGTATATCGGAAATGAATAAGAATTCAATCAAAAGTTAATCACATACATAATTTAATACAGATATAGATATAGGTATACATACATACAACCCTACACACATGCATGCATGCATGCATGCATGCATGCATACATACACACACACACCTTCGCAGTCGTAGAAGCTTGGAAAGCTCTCGTCGTACTTCT